TTTTTTATTTTATCAGTAGGTACTAAATAAGTTGTGGTCCATCCACAGGTGACATGCCATGCAGTCATTCATAAAACAGGCAGCTTGACCCGGAACATTCTCCAAGTTAATATAGTGAAATGAATAAAGTTGAGTGTAAGGTACTCCTATTGATGTCTTAAAAAAATTCACATATGCAGAGAAGATAGCGTATTTTTGGATGGTTATATAGAAAAGTAGAAACAGTTGAGTGAGAAATTGAGAGATTAAAAACTATTTGCACTTGTGTATCTTTTTGCGTTAAAAATGCATGTATGTCCTCTATCTAAATTTGATGCAGGACCCCCCCGCACCCCACCCGGGCCCCACGTCCCCAGGTCCCCAGCTGGGCTCTGCTGTTGTGAACTGGTGGTGATTGTGCTTGAATGGGGGGTCCACATTCCTTTCTTTCCCTTCTTCCCAGGCATTCAATGTTATTTTCCATAAATCAAGTGAAGCTTGGTTTTGATGTTATTGAATAGACTTGGTTTCATGGCTGGACTTTACTCCTTGAACTTGGCTCTCCGCTTCTAAATAGGAGAGTCTGTATAGTGGCACACACTGATAAGGCTCTGGTTATCACCAGCTTTCCCTCACATCATTTCTACAGGGGAAACTTAGAATCCCTCTCGGGTGGATGGAGACCTTCTTCTGTCCAGGCCTGAGTTTGTGGGAGGCCAGATGTCCCCAGTCATTTTAAGGGAGGTCAAAAAAAAAAAAAAAGATAATAACTGTTAGTATATTGTATTTCAGTTGGGACATTTTGACAACGAGAGGCGCCTCCATCTTTTCAGCTTACATTGCTTATTTACATGGGCAGTTTTATTTAGAACTGGAAGCTCATTCTTACAGATGTGCCGTGCTCTAGTAGGACGTGTGTGTTGTGTTCCCGTTCCTTGTTGGATCACAGGTAGTATAAAAAGTAGATCCAGAAGTGCACACCCTCAGTCTTTTCACTAACAAAGCACTTTATTTAAAGCACTGGCTAAGGTAAACCTGCCTACTTGGTATTTTTATTTATTTATTTTTTCTTTAACCTCCCCCTTCCTCTCCTGCTGGGCCCACATTCCTAGGTCTTTGTCTCTGCCTGGTATTTTAGAAATTTTGGGAGAGGAAGGCAGTGGGTGGGGCGTCCTGGAAGCTAGGGGGCAGGGAAGAGGGTGGTCACTTGCAAGGTCAGAGGTCGAGCCTGCTCCATTCAGCTGGGGCAGCCAGATTGTCGCCATGCGGGGGAGTTGGGGGAGGGTGGGGGCGTGTCCCTGTATCTGCCTGGGAAGCCCCAAACAGGCAGCCCCAAGCTCTGGAATTCCTGCCACTAGAGCACTGCTTTCCCCGCCGCCCG